TGTACTTTGCTTTTTAATTTATTAACTGTAAATAAATTTTAGAGAATACACAGTGTCTGTTTTCTAATGATGTTAAAAGTTCTTGAAATGGGATTTTATGTTTACATGTGAATTGGAAAGCATTTTAATATGCTATGGGATAAACTTTGACTTTTTTGTGAACTTCAAACTCCTGGAGGTTTTGAGATATGTGTTTTGTGCTATCTTGGGAATCTATGTTACATCAGTTCTTTACTGATCTAGTGAGTCTCCAGGACAGTGCCTCATGCTGAAGCCCAAGCCATTACCCAGTTAGTCAGCAATAAAGGCTTTAAAAATGCATCACAATTTAGTTTTGAGTCCTGACTCCAAGTCCCCCTGGGAAGTGATAGAAATTCTAAAGCTCACATTCTTCCAAATTCTGAAAGAAAAGAATGTTCCATATGAGGAACATCAGTAAGGGTTGTTTCACAGAATAAGAATAGAGCTAGACTTTTCATTACAGTCTAGTAGAAGTGGAATATTAGCAAGGGCAGGATTCACAGCTCTGTGTGGCCTGATTTTGTCTTTGTACCTGAGTTGCATCAAAAATGGAGTCGGCATAATGTAACAGCTGTGAATCACAGTGCCTGGGATAGAATAAAGGCTTTTGCATTTGCATTAGAACTCTTAGATAAGTTACCTAAACTTTCTGTGTCGTTGCTTCCTCGAGACTCCAATGTGGTGAGTAAAAGAATGGACTACTGAAAGGATAAAAATGCATATTAATGGTGGCCACATAGGAAATAATAAATGCTATAATTGGAGTCATGGGTGCTGAGAATAAGTATATATGCTGAGAGTGGTCCTTTGGGAGTTTAGCATCCTGAGAACAGAGTGTGGTCTGGGATAGCTAAAAGACAAGAGAAGCTAATTTGTGGTTGAATTAAAGATAAATCTGTATTTTTTTTTAGCCTGCTGACAAACTATATAGCAGGAGGTTGGATTAAGTTGACTTATTAGACAGTTTTCATTATTGGGAGGTTTATAGGCATTCTTAAAAAATTGGGGTCTTCTTTTATCACCCTGATACCTTCAAAAGATGTTTAAAACGAGCTGCTTCTGTGTTTTAAACTATCTGAGAATTTATAAAAGTAATTGATTAAAGTTACTGACCTAAGAACTTGCCAAATTTCCACACTAAGTTTTCACTTGGAGTAAATTCATATGGATTGCTTAAGTACCATGTTACTCTACATGTACAGAACTAAATTGGAATTAATTTGTGTGAGGTTTGTACATCCTATGTTAAAGGAAACAAATGAGTACAATAGTTATGTTTGAAGCAGCAAAAATTATTACTAAAAGTAAAAAAGATCCTAGTTGAAGCATTGATACTGATTTTTAGATTTAGGGTCTAAAGCTTTTAATTCAGCTCTAATTCCTCATGACACAAAGAATAACAGAACATATTCTACCTTGATGAGCAAGCCAAAGTTCTGTAGTATCTGAAGGTGACACAAAGGAATTTTCTTAGATGGAAGTTTTCCAGTAGTAAGAAGCTGAAAACTGCCTGATTTCAGATTTCACAAGAACAATGACTTCTCATTGTCTGCATTCATTTGTTTTGATACATGTCACCCCAAACCTTAACCTATAACATTATAAACATATCCAGAGCCCACATGGAAGGTAACGATCACAACTTCAAACACAATTGTTTGAATCAATATTCTACTGAACACAAAACTAGACTTCTTTTGCTTCTGAAACTATTCATAGAAATGTTGCATTGAGATTCTTCCAAGTATAGAAATG